AAAACCTGCCGTCAGAAGCCGAGTACATACTAATCTATCCGACGTTTATTTTAACTATTTATTTTATGGCGCGGGCGTCCCGCCGTCTCCTTCCAGTGCTTGGCCTCCTCAGCACCTGAAATCAAACAGCGCCACAGAAGATCGTCCGCACCAACGCTTCTGCCCTTATTTTTTCGATCCCCCCTTCCCTTCACCCCCTAATGTGCTTATTACTATGCCAGTTTTATTTTATTTATTATATTGACCTGTTACTTACCAATTGACTACGACTTATGACTTATTTCTTTACTGTTTACTACTTAACTGTAACTTAACATAAAATTACTGATTAACTTAAATTACTGATTAATATTATGTGCAGTGCAGTGGCGTGAAGAGCAGTGACATTGTGAAACTGAGGGAAACGAGTGTGTAAGAAAGTAATTACAGCTCGCTGTATCGCAGTGCGGTGAAGTGAAGTGTGGTGGAGTTCTATGAAAGATTACACGATGAAATGTCCACGTGAATTTGAAAGGTTTGTAGAATTTGTAAAGTTGATAAGTTCTGTTACGTTAAGTTAGTGTATTCTGCCACCAATTTCTCACACTTAATTGCAGAATTATTAATAAATCTAATCTAATCTAATAAACTCGGTATTTTCCGCAGAAATATTGAGGAACCCCATAATTGTAATACAACGGGAGGAGAAAGAAATGATCTTCCTCAAACAAATTTATTAACTAACTAATAGTCAGTTATAGCATTAGATAGACATGTTACGAGATATTCTGTAGAGACACTGCAGATGAGGTAAAATCCCTCGAAACATGTCTGTCTGATCCTGTAACTGACTTGGTTAATAAATTTGTTTGTTTTAGAAGATAATTTCTTTCCCCTCCCGTTGTATTACAAATACTCCTCTGATAATAATATAATCGTTTGTGTGGAATGAAAAATAATGGGTCAAGACAAACTGGCGACGAAAAGTTACGGGAAAAAGTCTGTGGTATGTGATAAATTAGTACCTTTTCAATTACAACCAGTTGCAACACACGGAATGTTAAAACAGAATTTGATTACCGTGTGAAACTAAGATAACCTTTGCCTCTCCTTTGACCGAGGTCGTTAATGCGAGAGTGCAGTGGCGAACTCGGTTAGTTGGGTCCCGTGTTTGAATCCCGCGCAGGCATGGATATTTACATGTGTGTTGTGGCCTGATTGGCTTTCACCCGACGATGTATTTACTCTTATAGCAGTATCCTCTCCTTAATGATCACCATTAGCAAAAATTCTCATGAACAACAAATAAAATACGCTTGCGGTAGCACTATAATGAATTAAATATTTTAACAAAAACTGTCTTCCGAAAAACGGAATCGAGTAGTATAGTACATATGGATACATAAAACTATAATTCCTTACTCACAAGAATATCAAAAACGTTGCTGTTATATAACGCAACACGTGAACAACAAATATTTAATGACGACCGGTCTCTTCTTTGAAGTATAGTAAGTAATGACGTTCTGAGTGTGAGAATTGAGTCGGTATGCGCAGTATGGAAATAGGCGAAATGTCACGCCAAATATTTACATTTTTTATTCAACACTGAAACTACTTTACTCTCATTGTATTCTTTTTTTCGAGTTTCTTCTTTCGAGCTTAGCTGAGACAGCCCCAATGAGTTCCTCAGCAGATTCCTTCGGTCTCGAAATGAAATACCAAGGTGGGTTTGTGGACTACCTCTGAAAGCCGATGAATTGGTGCACACCGAGCCAACACTAAATTGAATGGATTATCTACAGGAAATGGGATGGGCCATTGCGTCTGGATCTGCTAATGAGGGAAACTTGCGAGGTATGGGGGGCGAGGGCACCACATAGCCGAATAGCCTGATGATTTGAGTAGCCGAATATGCTGTTCTAAACGTATGTAAAATAATGCGATTGTGTTATGAACGTACCAAAACGTGTAATATGCATGAAACTAATTCAAATTTTCTCATTATGAGCATATATCAACATACCTCTATGAAATTTGGACAATACGATATCTGAACAGCTCGATTTACCACAAAATACCGTGAAGCCAGTTAATTTCAGCGAACATTCACTGCAATAATTACACAGACAATAAAATTCAAACAAATTATCTAACGCAAAGACTTGTCACAGATTTCTCTATGTATGCTTACGCTCTGAATCCGCTTCAGAAGCCTGAATTGCGCCCCAACCTTGCTGTATTTATAATCAGGAAAAAGACCGTAAAAGTTACATTTTTTGTGTGTTTTTATTTAAAAGATCTGTTAGAGTGTTATTGCGTGATTCTGGCTTTAGATTTGGATTCATAGCATCGACATACATAGAGAAACGTGATAAGTCTTTGGGTCAGGTATCTACACCTGAAAATTAAAAAAAAATACAATGCCACACTGGTTTCTTGGGTTTTATAAATTTGAGGGTGATGGCGCAATTCTGACTTAATGTTCGGATTCAGCACGTCGACGTACATGGAGAGACATGAGTGACGTCTTTGCGTCTGACAACATTAGGTGTGTGTGTGTGGGGGGGGGTAATTTTTTTTATTAGCCAACTGCCCATCCTATTAAGAGAAAGGGCCTCCTGCTTGAGAATGGAATAATTAAAACTTTTTAATGAAGTGATAGGTTAATGATGAGAGATGAAAGGACGATTATAAATATATCCGTGTCCCCGTGGGGGGATTCGAACCCGCGATCCGAGATCGACACGACACCGCTGCCTTAGCTATCTCGGCTCCCTGCACGTACCTGTGTTATTTATCCAAATCGAATTCTTTTGTTGTTGAACTGGTTCCAACGCCACCGTCGATTCCACGTGCCCACGTGGCGGCGGCGCGCGGGCCAGTGCGCGGCGCGGGTGGCGAAGTGCCGAGGGTGGAGCGGGTGAGGTCGGGAGAGGGGTAGAGCCGCGGGTGTCGAGCGGGGGGGGGGGGCAGCCGTCGCAAAATCCGGATCGGGTGCCGCATCAGTCGGCGGAAGGGCGACGGGGGGCGCAGGGCGGGGCGCGAGGGCGTCGCCGCAGGCAGCCGCTGCGATTCTAGCGTGGTCGCCGCGCGTCCGCCGTCTGACCTCTCCCGCCGCCACCGCCACGCGCCGCCCCATCCACCCTCGGTGCCGCTGTGGTCAATGGACTTGGTGGGCTCGTGGAGGCTGTTGGTGAGGTATCGTACGAGTGTGGTTTAATGCTTTCAGTTGGCTAACGTAGGGGAAAGTTTATTTTTAACGGAAGAACACAAAATGCTTTGTAGTTCTTTTCTTTTTTATTTTAATGAATGGAGCGACTACAATTTCATCTTCGAATCAGCGCAGTGCTTCGAATCAACGATAATATTTTATTGAGAGAATTGCTTTCATTTCAAATCACGATTGTGGAGAAAAGCTGTCCTTTATGTCAAACATTACATGATTTTTTTTTCTTTTCGTTTGAATGCTTGAATCGACTTGGTAACTTTCTAATGCTTCGTTCAATTCAAATAATTGGTTCTGTTGTAACTTAATATATCGACCTAGACATGAACATGATTCTCTATCGGGAGACGCATACGTATCGAGTACGTATTACGTATCGTAAATCCATATCGTTATTTCGAGATCATCAGGAAGTAGACGGTAATTAAAAAGTGACATAAGTTGATGTCCTGAGCCATCTAAGCAGGAAAGAGATTCTAATTCAGCCTCACGTCTCTCTCTTGCATGCACCACTTCTTTATTTTAATGTATCCGTAGAATGTCAAGTGAGACAGTATGTGCAATGGTATGTGGTCCGCGTGCATCTTGATCGATATCGTTCGACGTAGAAATGTACATGCTTCCATGTAATACGTATCGGTTAATTCGTGATCATCAGGAAGCAGACGGTCATTAACAATAAGTGGCATAAGTTGATGGCCTGAACCATCTAAGCCGTAAAGAGAAGTCTTATCCAACCAAGAGGGGGCTTGCATGCACCACTTCTGTATTTTAATGGATGAGTGGTATGCCAAGTGAGAAAGTATGTGCAATGTTATTTGATCCGCGTGCTTCTTGATCGATATCGTTCCACCTAGAAATGTATATGCTTCCATGTAATTCGTATCGAGATACGTAATATGTATCGTAATACATATCGTTATTTCGAAATCAGGGAGCAAACGGTCATTAAAAAGTGACATAAGTTATTATTATATTATTATAAGTTGATGGCCTGAACCATCTAAGTCGTAAAGAGATTCAACCTCACTCCATCTCTTGCGTGCACCACGTGTGTATTTTGATGGATGAGTGGAATGTCAAGTGAGAAAATATGTGCAATGTTATTTGGTCCGCGTGTTTCTTCATCGATATCGTTCGATATAGAAATGTATACGCTTCCATGTAATACGTATCGGTTATTTCGAGATCACCAGGAAGCAGACGGTTATTAAAAAGTGACATACGTTGATGGCCTGAACTATACAAGTCGTTAAGAGATTCCACCTCACTCCCCCTCTTGCATGCACCACTTCTGCATTTTAATGGATGAGTGGTATGCCAAGTGAGAAAGTATGTGCAATGTTATGTGGTCCGCGTGCATCTTGATCGATATCGTTCGATATAGAAATGTATACGCTTCCATGTAATACGTATTGGTTAATTCCTGATCATCAGGAAGCAGACGGTAATTGAAAAGTGACATAAGTTGATGACCTGAGTCATCGAAACCGAAAAGAGAAGTCTAGAAATGTATATGCTTCCATGTAATACGCATCGAGATACGTAATACGTATCGTAATATATATCGTTATTTCGAGATCATTTAGCAAACGGTCATTAGAAAGTGATATAAGTTGATGGCCTGAACCATCTAAGTCATAAAAAGAAGTTTGATTCTGGCTCACTCCCCTTCCTGTATGCACCACTTATGAATTTTGACGAGTAGTATGCTAAGTGAGAAAGTATGTGCAATTGTACTTGGTCCGCGTGCATCTCGATTCACCGCCGTCCGTGTCCGTTGTGTGCGCAGATGTCGTCGGGCGGGCGCGTGAGCCGCGGGCGTCCGGCGCGGCTGCCGCTGTCGCTGGCGCTGCCGGCGTTGGTGCTGCTGGTGGCGGCGGGCGGCGCGGCTGTGTGCCCCGAGCGGTGCGCGTGCTCGCTGGACCTGCGCGGGCGGCGGCAGGTGGTGTGCGCGGCCGGCGGCATGCAGGACCCGATCCCCATCGCCATGATGGAGCAGAAGCAGGTGGAGGTGCTGCGCATCTCGGCGCCCCTCGCGCGACTCAACGCCCTCACCATCGGCCCCATCTTCCAGAAGTTCTCTCGCCTCGAGGAGCTGCACATCACCTACTCCAACATCCCGGCCATCGGCAAGCACTCCTTCTGGGGCGTGCCCACCTTGCAGGTGAGGGACAGACATGTTCTTTCAATATATATATAAATTTATGATAAAAATAAATACTACCATAAAATTATATATGTTTATTATTGGAAAGAGCAATACACAGTTTAATATCATTTACATTGTCCTTGCGTTTTGAATGAGTTACAATATTTTACTTTAATTATCGAAAATTAAGAATCTCAAAACTTACTATCAAAACACTGATAGTTGTCAATTTTTTGAGATTTTTTAAGACTGGATCTTAGTTAAGACATTAAAATAATTTTTACTCTTTCCTGCTTTTACAAGTCGTTAGGGTTTTAAATATATTTATATATTTTGAAAGTGATTCTGAAAATTTATTTTAATGTTTATTATATATTTGTATACTGTGTTGAAGCACCCAGTAATTTTGGACCTTGAAATTAAAAAAAAAAATGTCATCTGCAATATATCAATGTTTTGGAATCCTATGTGTGTAGAACAAATTGCGCTAAAAATTAGATGACGGTTTTTGATGCTTTATAGTCGACACAAAACTGTAAGTTAGTTACTTAGGTATTTACATCTCAGCCCTTCATGCAACGGAAAAAATAGAGATGAAACAGAAATAACTACAGATGTCGTACCTTTCATTTTTTAACTATGGTTCCGTAATCGAAAAAGTATGAACAAATTCACAACAACCAGTGTTTTGAGAGGATTGTTTAAATGTTGTCGTGTCGACCATGTAATCGTGAGTACGTAACAATTTTTTTCAATTTTTTTTTTTTTGAATTTGGTAAATATTTCTTTGATAGGATAAACGAATGTCTTATTTTCCGTATTTTTAATTCGAAAAATTAATATTATGTTGACGAAAAAAATTTAAATGAAAAACACGATTTTCGTTGTAGAGGTGTGGGAATGATGAGGTGGGGGATAATAAGCATCTTATTTTATTTAGAGTAATAGTTTAACTACTGATTTTAGGGAATTTTTCACCATCATATTTGGGAATACTCGTTATTATCGTACACATATTTTGTTTTAGAATTTCTAAATTAGTAAAAACAGCATATGTGACAATTAAAAGGACAAAAGCTAAATCTATTGTCCAGATTAAAGCAGTTTACCATGTCAACGTTTTTTATTTGTACCAACAGAATCTGGATGAAAGCCCAATCGTAATGGTAGTCATTGACCTCAACAATTTCTATCTTTGTTGCAGATTAATTTCAATTTCACTTACAATACTAATGTATTATTTGGAATAAAAACAAAGTTTTGAAAAGTTTATTAAAGAGTTAATATTACATCACGGAATGATCATAAGAGAAACAAACGAATTGCGTGGAAAGAGAACTTTTGCTTCTAATTTAGTAATGGCCTTTGTCAGTATATGCCGCACACATCACATGCCCAATGTACGCTTTTTGTCCCTTGGAAATTCATCGGTCTTCCTGAAAATCCAAAACGTGCTCTGTGGGTTTTAACTAAACGACCAATGAGCTAACAAGTCACATGTTGGAACTAGGTCGTAATACAGAGAACGAAAAATTAATTACGGCGCACGTGTTACTGGTTTCCACGCGGGGACAAATGTAATTTCGTGTTTCGAAATTTCATTTGTTCATTTGATACAACTATTGGCCTTGTTTTTATTTTCCGCGAGTAGTTCAATGCAAGTAGATAAAGAGTCCCTTTCTCTTACCATTCAGAATGTATGCTGAATACAAGTTTCGTTTGTCTCCTTAAAAAATGAAACGCCCGCGAATTTAACTTTTTAAACAAAAAAATATACTTTTAGTTACATCATAAATATAATAAACTAATAAACCAAACAAAGAAATATTTTAATCGCCAATAGACTTCTTACAAAAAGACTCCGAATTTGGTTTAAAAAACGTTTAAACAGATGTAATATTACAATACATACTTCTTCTCAGAGTATACAGATGTTAGGTTCTTTCGTTCTACGTAATATTGAGAGATGTCTCGTTATAAAAAGATTGTTACCAAAATAAACATTCCTAAAAAGCTTTGGTCTTACAGAAAGTATTGGGATAAACGTTTACATCTCTATGTGTTCGAAGTGTCAGTACAAAAAAAATCCATTCTTCTTACACACAATAGCCAAAAGAACATTCAACGAACTTAGAAACAGGATTTATGTCTTCAAAGTGTGACAACATGATGTTTATGCCCAAATCCAATCCAAGTGGCTCAGGGTTTAAACTGCTGACTTCGCATTCGGGAGGCCCGTGTTCAATTCTCGTGCCGGCCATCGCGTCTCGGAATTTCGTTGTTTCCCCTCGGTTATCCAGGTGAATGCTGGGATGGTTCTACCAAAAGACCACGACCACGATCGCTTGCAGAATCCGTTAATTACACGTGAAGTCATGAACGTTAACCTAATTCGAGACATCACGAATTCCTGGTTGGGTGACCGACTGGGGACCCCGGAATCTAACTGCGCCGAGGCCAATTACTCTCTACGGAACATAAAAATGGCTCAATACAAATGCAATGCACTGACACACAACACGTGCACGTGCGCGCGCTCGTCTTTTCAGATCCTCAACCTGACGCACAACAACGTGTCGCACGTGCTGGACTACAACTTCCGCGGGTTGGCCAACCTGCTGGAGCTGCACCTGGACGACAACCGCATCGAGTCGATGCCGAGCGGCACCTTCCGCTACCTGCAGGAGCTGCGCGTGCTGTCGCTGGCGCGCAACCGCATCACGGAGCTGGTGCCGCGCCTCTTCCTCATGCTGGGCAAGCTGCACCAGCTCGACCTCAGCGGCAACCGCCTGCTCGAGCTCAACCCCGAGGTCTTCAAGGACGTGCAGGTGCGCTGCTCTTCTTCTGAGGTGGATGCGGAGGAAATACGTGAAGGCATGGACGTTAAGCTAATTCGAGACATCACGAGTTCCTGGTTGGGTGACCGACTGGGAACCCCGGGATCTAACGGCGCCGAGGACAATTGCTCTCTACGGAACATAAAAACAAGTACAATGCACCGACACACAACACGTCCACGCGCACTCCTTGTTTCAGATCCTGAACCTGGTTAGGTAAACCCTTCATAGCACGAACACGCTTAACACGAAATCCGTCGTCAAACGAACACGATTTGCGTCCCGCAAAGAAACGTTGTAATACCGTGTGTAGTCAGATAACACGAATATTTATAACGAGAACACCGATTTTATTCAGTCAATTGGAAATCGTGTTACGAAGGCTTACTGTAATGAAATTCACCAACAGCAAGACAATCATATTTCCGAAAGATAAAGTTATTGATGTCATAAATCTAAAGGCACCAAATAATGAATGCGGTTGACGTTGGTAAAACGACAGCGTAAGTTAAGAACCAAGTCTCTTATTTGTGATTACGCTCATGTGTTGTGTATATATTTTTCTAATATCATTTTCGTATAAGAAATATTCATGAAAATAAAGACATTTTCTTGGAATGTGAATACTCAGTAGGAGTGTACGCTGTCTTCAGCTACTACTATTGATTTCTTTCGATTGTTCTTAACGGACGGAAGAGTGTTAAACTCCTTAAAGGTCGCTGGCTTTCAAAAGAGACTTCTCGTTCCTCTGCTTAAGTGCGTAATGTCGCTATAAAAGTACACTATGACGAAAAACATGTGCTAGCCCAATTATCTTTAGTACTTATTGATGCAGAGGGTTAGTCGGCATAGACACTTCCGGCTGTCAGCCAGTAGAATGAATGTGGTACTGTCCACGGTTCCACACACACCAAAGGCATTAACAGTAACCACCGAGACGAACCGGTGATCCGTAAGGAGGTCTTGAGTTATTGCCCGCTGTTACAACTCGGTGGAGTAGAGGGACTTAATTATTTAATAATTATACAGTGTGAAATAAATTAAGTTTACCGTGTGACTAAAAGTCTGTACAATTTTGTTTGTATTTAAGTTGTTATAGATTTGGAGGATTTGACAGACTTAAATATTAATATTTATAAAGCTTGGAATAAATTATGTTGAGAGTGTGATTGAGCACGATGTCGGATTTGGTATATATTTTAGGAGCTGAGTGTTTAATTTGTTACAGTCTAGATGGACTTCATCGACGTCAATACCTAAGCTTTAGCGAAAGCAATACGAAAGCTTTAGTAATTTACGATTACCGTGTGACTAAAAGGGCGTACGATTTGGTTTGTGCTAAGAGAAGAAAGTTTAAGTTGTTACATGCTTAGTGGATTTGGCCAACTTAAATATTGCTTGGAGTAAATGACTTTCAGTGTATGACTAAACGCGATGAACGATTTGTTATACGTTTAGGAACTAAGAGTTTACGTTGTTCAAGCCTCAGTTGTCGTCGCCGATTGAATTACATAACATTTATAAATATTGAGTACACGATTGCCTGTGACTAAATGCGGGGTACGATTTGGTTCACGTTCAGGAGCTGAGAGTGTTCCGGTGCCGAGGCTGTGGCCTGAGCAACATCAACACTCTCATCTATCGACTGCTGCCCGACCTCACACTGCTCGACCTCGGCGACAACGAGTTCAAGTACCTCAGCAGCGACGAGTTCAGAGATCTGCGCAAGTTGCAGGTAAGATGTGGAAATATTCACAGTTGCACGATGTGGTTCATAAATGTATCTTTGAAAGTCGGACATTAGTAATATTTAATTAATTAATAATTACAAATGAGAATTAACATACTAATGAATTGATTCATAGTTATGAAAAATAATAATTTCGATTACAATAAAAAAAATCAGAAACTAAGAATTTGCTTCATGTCTCTTGGCGCAGCATGCAAAGCTAATTTGCTGATTAATTTGTTGCAAGAATAAATAATATAATGTGACGAAAAATTCCTGCAACATACAGTATAAAATTTTTCTATATTTTATTGTAAAACTATATTACTGTTTTATGTACATTTAATAAATGAAAGATGAATGTTGTCGGGACAGACAGTAATCTTGCTTGCATTCTGTATGAGCATTGTAAGAAAGGGAGAAGGTGCGTCTCATTTTAGAAATTCTATATTACAGTGATACCATCCAGTACTATTTTTTACTAAGACCTCTTCTTCGCACGCAAGAATCACATGCTCCATCTCTATAGCGGATGACTATATCGCTTTAATAATTTCACTGTAGGGAATTCACAATCAATAGTCGCGTACCGAAATTTCCAATGTTCAAAACAATTTCTAACAAAAAAGTCGAGTTTCCTTTTCACAACATGATAGAGCATCGCAGTCAGTGTATGACTACTGTATGGCTAGTACTCCGCTTCGAATTTGCTCTTTAAAGGGATTGCTCGTATGCAAAATGCAAAATGCCTATGCAAAATGAAACGCCTCACTACGTGGTCCGATTACTAACACAATTTGTTTAATGCGCATGAAAATGAAACGAATTGTGCTTCGTTTCGGTTGCATTTCTATAAATCATTGGCGGGAGATGAGTTCAGCGCAATTTGATTGATATCAAAAGATGGAAGTAGAATAGATAAGTACTGGAGACAATATTATAGAACGCTTCTTTTCTTACTTTTTGTTTTGCGGTTATGAGATAGTACTGCTTCATTGGAAGGAATCTCGAAGCAACTAAACCTTTCTCGAGAAATCTCATTCTGACGATGCTTTTGTTCGATCCAGCTATTTTCGTTTTAAATTTGTCAATAGATTTCCTCAAATATAGGTTCTCTCGCAACGCAAAGTTTGAATTATAAACCTGTGATCATATCACAGTAGGTCTTAAAGGTTGGAAAACATCTGACCTACTGAAAAATCAAAGGTGTTGCTAGGATTATTTGTTCATAGAGGTTTCCAGACCCTTTGTTAAAAGAGCCGCAGGACGTGGATATCACATTTCACACCCGTCAATTATACATGAAGTGTGCACTTTGTGTAAATGTCAATTTAACACAAAGAAAAATAGTATTACTGTTTTTTTTCATTTATTGATACACCTCATATTTTGGCAGAAATTTTAAAACATTTATTTGTAAAAGCAAATTGTGAACATACACATATCTCCTTTAAATTTTTTACACGTTTCGTAGCACGCTGCAGCCCCAACATCAGATAAAAAACAGTAATATAAAAAATAATTTATAATTAACGAGTCATTAACAATGAAAATATTACAGTTACAAAGATGCAAATTAGTTTTCGTTAAGTATACAGTTATATTTGACAACCACACGTAATATAATAGTATTGGCATAAGTTATTTATTTATAATAGAGAGACAACACTCATTTTATTATGATAAGACAGAAACTATTATGTTGCAATCAAAGTATCGTCACAACACGGCAGACATCTAAATGCCTATAATGCACGAAGAGATTACTACTGGCAAAGGATCGGAGGGAGAATCATATTACGTAGTAAAGGAGTGGGCGAACGAGTGCTGCCAACTGATGAAACAGAATGTATGCATTCAAATGTTGTAAATTACTGTGATAGGTAAATGATAAAAATTATATTTTATCGAACTCATAATCCTAAGTCTTAATGTTCAGGTTCATAATAAGATTTACATATTCAAACAAAGCAATAGATCTGTTCATTGTTGGCGAACGTTGTGTATCAATTATTCATTTTTTTAAAATTCAACGAGTATTTACAATCTATTTCAAATGGAGAATAATGAGTAAATACTAGAAATTTGAATAACAATAAGAAATGAAATCAAGAAAGTCATCCATTGGTACTTTTCTTGGAATCCTTTTCAAATCTGTAATAAAAAGGTCATTTAAACAATATTATTGATAAGGGATACGAGAATTAAAAGTACATGAACATGCTAGACCCAAATGAGAGAATATGATTAGATAAATGTTATATATTATCCCCTTTTTTTCGTTGTTGCAAATGTAACAAAAAAATCATTAACACTATTCATCCATACAAAATTCATTCATCATTCACATTATTTGTTTTTATCCAGATTTTTAAAAAAATCGTTTCGACAATTTCTATATATTGTTATAATTAAGCTCTTATAATCTCTAATAATATATATTAACATTCAATGCTACCACTCAGAAGGTGTAACGGTCTTCAATATTATGGACACAACTGCGGACCACAATACCCGATTTACGACTTTTCAGGTACAGGAATATCATGTATCTGAAAAGTCTTGGTCCACAGTTGTGGGGGTAACATTGAAATTAGACCTTGTTCCGACTGGGGTGGTGCCACGCTGATGGGAGATACCTGGTTGGGGATAACCACGGTAGCCGACGATAGGTCGGAGTCAGATCTCGCCATCCAGCAATGGAAGATCATCGTCACCTCTCGAGAGAGAAACAAGGACTAGATTTAGGGATATTAGTTAGGGGTCAGTAGTTGACGCGTGGTATTACAGGCCTCAGTAGTTGACGCGCCGGCAATCAGTAACAACCAAGCAACCGCGAGAGCAATGATATTCCCACTGACAAAGTTGTCGGAGAGCACGCGAATCGCGCGCCGGCGACCAGTCGCCCCGAGTCTCGAGCGCCGTCGCGCGTCGCCTTCGCGCGCTGCGCAGGAACTGCGTCTGGACGGCAACCAGCTGCCCGTGGTGCTGGAGCGCACCTTCGGCGGGCAGTCGGAGCTGCAGCGCCTGACGCTGGCGCGCAACCGCCTCGCCAAGGTCACCACGTCGGCCTTCGCCAACCTCACCACGCTGCGCGACCTCGACCTGGGCTACAACAAGCTGGACCGCCTGGAGACGGCCACCTTCATCCCGCTGGCCGAGTCGCTGCGCCGCCTCGACCTCAGCGGCAACGCCATCTCGCTCGCCGAGGTCAAATACGTGCTGCAGGTCAGTCCGATTTCTTCAGTGGTGCGATGCAAATTTTCAAATACGTGCTACAGGTCAGTACGCTTTCTCAAGTGGTGCGGTACAAATTTTCAAATACGTGCTGCAGGTCAGTTCAGTTTCTTAAGTGGTGGCGTACCTGGAATTCCTCTCAGTAAACAGTGCAGATTTTCAAATCCGTGCTGCAGGTCAGTCCGGTTTCTTCAGTGGTGCGGTACAAATTTTCAAATACGTGCTGCAGGTCAGTCCGGTTTCTTAAGTGGTGCGGTACAAATTTTCAAATACGCGCAGCATGTCAGTACAGTTTCTTAAGAGGTTGTATACCCGGAGTTCTTGGCAGCAAACGATACAAAATTTCAAGCATTTGCTGTGGGTCAGGAGAGTTTCGTAAGTGTTGGTATTCGCGGGTTTTATCTGAATAAATGTTCCGGATTTCGAGGACATGTTGAAGGTCGAGTACGATCACATTTTGCCAATGAAAATGTGACGGGAATCTGATATTTACGTCAATCACCCCTGGTTGGCAAACATTGCGATCTGCACTGCTACATGAAGTCGTATGCTTCCGCGGCCAGAGTCATGTGCATGATCTTGGATGTCCAGCCCTGAGGAAGACCACAACAAGGTGGTTGAAACGTCGGTAACACAGCCTTTGACGCGGCGTCTCCTGGAGAGCCAAAATCATGCACTGGTACTTGTTCTGACTCTAAGATAGTTAGTATTTATACGAAATGTTTTTGTAAGATGGTAAGATTTATTCTGAATTATCCGTATATTGGCATTGGGCTGCAATATTTATCTCAACATAGACTTCTGTATAGGAATATGCTAACTCTAATTATTACAAAAGTAAAGTGATTCTAATTACTTAAAATGTCTATTTTCTGAGTAGCGTCAATGTTGTAGTCTTTGAGCGGTTTTCGAATTCGTTTTACTCGTATTCATTGAAAATTTGCAAGTTTCTCCGTGTAGATTGGCGGGACGTATACAAAAAAATTGTTTTTCATCGTAAGGGAAAATTATTTTCACCCATATTATGTTCATCGTAATTGTGTCAATCGGTAGAAAATATCTTGAAAGACAGAGACTCTGCCATGAATAAATAAATCCAGCTAGTATTTCTTCAGAATGCCAAGATATATATCATATGCGTGGTCCGCCCTTAGCCATAGACAATCACGCCTTAGACAATCTTTCCCAAATCTTCAAATACCGCAAATTCCGTTGCAGTATGTCCGCTGAAATTTTCGATACATAACGTAACATATGTCTTCCAGAAAGTAATGTTCTCTTAGTGTCGGTATTACTCGTATATGTAATTTGCATTTATGTCTAGATCATATTTTGTTTTGTGTTGGAAATTTTAAAATTCAAATCTTACGTATCATTTAAAATCAGAAAAGAAGACTTGAAACAGTCACAAAGTTAATCCTCATTTGAATGCTAACATTTTTCATAATTTGATTTATTGTTATTGAAATTCACCCCGCCATATCATTTCATGAAGTTAATCAGACTCGTGCGTCGGATTTTATTTTTACTTCATCACATACTGCTTACATAGTAAAGAAAAAATACAGTGATGCTACAACAAAAACAGCGAATCTTTTACAGAAAAACTCCTAATGTAGGTTCCTGATACCGATAAATTAGATAATTCTTGTTGCGCTTCCTCAAATACGTTGTCTTGCCAAAACACATGTTGTGTGCGTCCCTTGTTTCGAATCAAATGGTTATTCAAATTAAGATTATTTCTAATGTCATTTTTAACTGTCGTAATTTTCAAAAACTAAATAAAAATGAAAAATGAATTTTTATAATTATTTTCTTCATAAAATATTTTCTTCAAAATAAAAATTCAAACAAGATTACACACATTTTTTTCAAAATATGATTGAATAGTCTTCGAGCAGTTTTGCGTGAAATAAAAGCAACTTCAAAAAAATATTTTCAAATTCTTCATATTCTTTTTTCTTATATAGTGTAAAGAACGCTTTAAAAATGTAGTTCCGATTTTCATTGAACTCTTTGAATTTTTTATAATTGTAAAAGTTGCAAATAATTCGAGTAAGTACGTGCTCTTGACGCGTACTAGTAAATATTGTGGTTCTGCTGATTATTACAATGAAATTTTATAAAAAGTTACGGCTTTAATGAAAATGCAGAATTCTATCACCATGGTAAGCGGTTATGCGATTTTCAAGTGCAAGACTTGTAGACTGTTGATCGTAAATTAAACGGCAGCAGCTATTTAAATTTCCAGAGCGGGCAACAATGGGCGCTGCAAGCCGACAAGCTCATCTACGGAGGCGCGCCACGTGAGCGCCGAAGCGACTTTCCGCAGACAAAAGACGGTCTGGTAGCTCTCAGAGTTAAGAAACTCTGAAAGCCTCCTTCCCGCTGCTTCTCGTCGACACGTCACATACAATGCGCTGCTTCCCTCGCAGGGAGTGGGTCACGAGGGTGGCGCGAAGTTTCTCTTCTTAAGGAGCTTGCATTCAAGACGTAACGAGACGATGATGCACCGAGTTCACGTTTTATTAATTATGACCCTTCACCTATGCAAGATGTCTGAAACATCACGCGATATTTTACATAGCGCGTTGAAAACCTCCGGTGATATTCAATACGCGGTTGTAATTTCATAATGTTCGTTCTCCTTTTAACATTCACAAAACCTGTATATCAATTCAGTCGTATTCTTTTTATGAATGTGATCCCTAGTATTCAAAAGATTTCATTACCCGTAGCTTCTGTATCACTTGTACGACTTCCTGTCTCGTAAACTCTCGTTTGGAGAGGTTTTCTGGTTTCTTTTATGATTGCTCATTGGAATCCACATAATGGCAGCGAAGTAAAAAGCGAAATATTCATTTTTATTGCATTGATGCTGTTAAAAAAGATAATGTCCGTTTTTAAAACAGAATTAATTAGCATTATTTAACTAGTAGAGTTTTAGTTTGTGAAATTTTGCATCAAAATATGTATGTAAAAAAGAAAATACAATTTTGAAAATTTAAACAATTTATTACGCAGAGATTATATATTCATGCTTAAATTTGAGAAAATAATTAACAATAATTATTCATTTTATATTGCAGTGAAAAGCTCTGGGAGATTTTAGTTCGCGTAATACTGAATCCTGGATATTAAGCATGCTGTAAAATGCATTGTGAAGGCTCGTGGAAATATTTTTAACATACAGGATGTAATTGGTAGTCCGAAAATAATATATCTTAACGAAATATAAACTAATTTGATATTGTTTGCTCTGGCAATGTGTTCTGATAATGAACGAAATGAGTATCTTCTTCAATATCTGTTATGATATCAAAATTGTTTTCTAAGCGAAATTCTGAAGCTAATTTTCCAAATAAATTTTCTTATATTGTTTCTTGTATAATAGATTTCACAGTAACATGATTCCTAAAAATTGGTTTAATTTTAATTTTAGTGTTCATTGAGTTTTTAATGTCTGCTGTCAACGTGCAAACTTTTATCAACGGATCTGTTGTACAACCTGAAAATTTAATTTTCCTGAACTGTTCTTTAAAATTCACCAGAATGTACTTTTTGTAAATCTCAGTTAAATGTAAAAGCAAAATCTAGAATAATTTAACACCCACTTTGGTTTTGAATCATTTCTAATTTTCAAATATATGAATTCATAGATTTTACAATATAATTTAGACGTTTGTTTTCAAAGTAGAGAATTAGATATGCAGTACAAAAAATTCTATTAAAATAATAGTTCAAAACAAAATGGTTTTAGAATTTTCTGCCATGTGACTAGTTTATGAACCTTTTATAATGTTTAAAATATAAAATGTCTAGTGAAGACGTATGGTTTCGTGCAGGGAATATTGATTCACAGCTCTCTAGGGGGGGGGGGGGGCCGTGCCTTAGGCAACATTGCAAAGTTCGTCATTCTGGGACCTTCTTCGGATTCCAAAGCCCAGAGATGGACTGCGCATGGCCCGGGGCTGACTGGAGGAGGACCTCTGTATATAAACCCTTGCGAAGTTGACGTCCGCGCATTTCGTCCTGATAATGGTCACAGTACCACGACGAAACTGTTGAGAACTGTCCACAGGGCGCAGTGTCTCCCCGTCAGCCAATAGTCTATACTGGGCTGTTTGGGAGACGCTGAGTCGTTAGCACATACATTTTGCCCCGAAGAAGGTCTCAGTATGACAGTCGAAAAGTTGGCAACTGTGCCTAGGGCGCGACTTCTGCAGGGCAGGCAAGTATCTTTAGACCGCGTAATAAGGGCGAGAAACACGTCATTCACGCACGAGACGAGTTTGTCGTCCGAGCTACGCTGAATCACCGCGCTTAATTGGAGTCCAGCCGTGTCGTCACAGACGTTGAAAAAATGAGCCGGAAAACGACCACGAGAAACCACGTTTCGTGCACGCCGTGTTAAAAACTATATTTCCTACCTATAAGATGCCCTAGTTCCATATAACGGTGTAAACAAAAGATGACGAACGGGTGGGTGGACTTGTCTGCCGCAGGTGGTGCTGAAGCTGAAGGACCTGTCTCTGTCGGACATGCAGCTGACGGACCTGCCGCTGGGGCTGTTCGTCTACCACGAGCACCTGCGCTTCCTCAACCTGTCGGGCAACCACTTCACCCACTTCCCGTCGCAGCTGCTCTCGCCCGTGCCCAAGCTGCAGGAGCTGGACCTGTCGCGCAACCGCTTCCGGGGCCTGGACGAGCGCCTGCTCTACCGCTTCGAGTCCATCCGCGCGCTCCACCTGCACTCCAACCCCTGGGCCTGCGACCTCTGCCACATCATCCCCATCCTCAACCGCATCAACAAGACCGCCGTCAACATGTTCAAGGTGAGCGAGCGCACTCCCTCTCAAGATAAATGATCCTCATGCTCGATAACTAGGAAGCGATTCTAGATTTTGTATCTTTTCTCGGCGTGTGATTCTTACTATTCCGTCTTTACTCACGTAAATTTTGTGAACTCTTGTAAACTCCATTGAGGCTCTCAATGAATGATAATTTACTTAATGATTATATTTGCCTTCACCTTTGAAAATCAAATATGTGGGTTAAGTAGAACGACCGTTTTAATATCGAGAAGTATATTTGAAACAAATAATTATAATTTTTATGTGTAAATAATCAGTAATATAACTTGAACAAATATTTAAGCTTTTCTTATCTATATAAAACATTGACTGCGTATTGTCAGGAGTGGATTTCTCAGGAAACGGAAGTATTTGACACTCTCCGAGTGCCATTCTGACACAAAATTTTGTCAGCAGATATGTAATCGCAACTATTCAAATTAAATGTTAACGGCTTAAATTTCTTATACGTAATATTTGATTATGGAGTTTGGTTTGTTTTTGAATATAAGGATCCATTTTTGGAACAAATTCATAGATGTACCGTTGACATCATTACGTTAACAATGTCTATTATTCTTGTTGCAAGTAATTGAAATGAAGTCAACACCACACATTCAAACATGTTAGGAGTATGGAGATTTTCCCGTCTGAATTGATGTCCGGATGTTAGAGATATCTAGAGGGGGAAACTTGCGATTATACGTGTAGGTTGATGACGAATCTCACGACCTAGTAGGGACGGAGTATCGCCAACTCCTGGTTTATAATATGGTCCACACATACGGGACTTATGACCTTAGTAGTCTATTCCCTGGGAATCAATACCTACTAACTCACTTATCTCCCTCTCACCATTGTGCTACTGCAGGAAAGGAAATAAATTGTAAGGGACGTGCCAAACAGATTCATGATGAAATATTTAATATTGTGTAAATTATTCTACAGAACAATCAACAGGTTTACATTCTATCTGCATCACACTTAATGCAGCTTTCCATGTTACAACCTTGCATTAGAAGTTTTCATTCTAGACCTCATCTGAATTAGACGACGCGACGCGAATCATTAAATATATTCAATTCAATTCACGTGGGGAGACTTTTCCGTCTGACAGCACAAATTTCGCTATTCCCCTTTCACCATCTAGGGCAGAAAGAAGGTATCCCTTGGGTGACGAAGCAGGCGATTAGAACTTATCTCAGAGGGTTGAGGATCTTTTACATTCAATAAATCTACAACGTGGGACGGACGGCTTTACTTCCCCTCCGTAGCGCTCCAGCCGCGTGTCGTGTGTTGGCAGGGCCTGCGCTGCGCCACGCCCTACTCGCTGGAGGGCCGCCCTCTGGAGACGCTGCAGCGCAGCTCGCTGGGCTGGTGCAGCAGCAGCGGCAGCGGCTTCGGCTACGTGGAGGGCGGCGGCGCGGCGGGCGTCACCACGGGCTTCCTGGGCGACGACTCGCGCCTGGGGCTGATCGCGGCGGGGGCGGCGGTGCTGCTGCTGCTGGTGACCGGCGCCGCGCTCCTGGCCGGCGTTGCCTACTCGCGCCACCACGCCGCGCATTATTACACGCGCGAGGAGCAGCGCGCCCCCGAGCAGGAGGCCATCTTCGAGAACCCGGCCGCCATCCTCAGCGAGAACGGCGACATCAAGTACAAGATCGTGCCGATGGACGTGTCGAAGCCGCCTCCCAAGAAGAAGAAGATGTCCGTGTCCACCATCGACGGCATCACGAAAGATCCCGAGCTGCACACGCTCACGAACGGGACCTGAGTAGTGCGCTTCAGTGAGGTATTGGAGACACATTGCTAGTACAAAGTGACGACAGTACCCACTCATTGCTTCCTCAAGGCCGGAGGGGACGGGCGGGAGTGCCACGACGGCTGTGAGTCGTGTTACGAGTACGTGACTGTTTCCTGTAGCGAGATGCTGTAGCTCTCTCTCTCTTTCTCGGTTCCGCGTGTGCCGTGCTGTGGTGTGTGATCGAGCTTACATGTGTGGTGTATTGTCTTTTTGTGGTGAACCTACTACAATGTTAGCTTAAGTTAAAAATTCATTGAACACGTACCCTTTCAGTGATATTTGAATTAATATAAAAGTGAGATAATATTTTGCTATCATATGAAGGAACGAGCGAAGTGTTCGACTCTGCCATGGTGGATGTGTATACCTATATTTTTTTGTGAGAATGACTCGAATGGACAATTCAAGCGGCAGTGTTAAAAGTATGGGCGTTCATAGTAGATTACCGACATAACTAGGTATATAAAAGGAACCACGCAATTCTTGAAACTGAAGTATTTAAGGAATTTTTGAAGTTCCATTTGGTTCAGCATGAAAGTACTTGAAATTTCCCTACGAAAGGTACACTAACTAATGTGGCGTGTTGATAAACTATTGTAAATAAACCAATATTCAAATGGACTCTTCTTTACGTCTACATATATTTTTATCTATGTAAGTATTTGCCGTATAGGACAAGAGCAAAAACAAGTACAAGAGGTGCGGTGACTTACGACGCCGCGGAGGTTGTAGCTAGCTGATTTCTGGATGACGTTGCAAGTAGGCAGCGATCTGAGGTTTGATTCTTCTGTTAAGTTCTCGAAAGTGAAGTGTTGCCGCTTTCTAAGATACCACATGTCGTGTATTCGGTAAATGAAATATCCCGATGTATTCGTCAAGTATTGCAAAACAATGTGTGAAATATACCCACAAGTGTTTATCGTTTGCATGTTACTGTCAGTAAATCACGAGAAAAAAGTGTCTACTCAGAATTGGAATCTGTAATAAGAACGTAATTTTATATATACAATGTACTGTACTACTATGATTTGCATTTTATTTCCGTAAAGTATGTTTTTTTAAACCACAAGACTAGTTTGACAGCATCTTGAAAGTGGAAATTTTTCTCCTTTAATGTATTTTTTCAGTGTATATTGTAATTAGTAAATAGCGTTTTCCAAGCACTGTTGTTTGCATACCGTCATTGGTCAACTGGAACACGTGATTGACAACGTCAGAGAACCGAAGGTGACTAGTTGCCTAAATTTATGTGCTCTCGCCAGTCTCAGTTTGGAAGTGGAAGGAGACGGACGCTGTTTCGTGGAACGTGGACGAGCTACTACTTCAATGATTGCGGCCTGATTGTGCTATGCGGATAATAGCATATTAGTTGGTGAGTGGGCCATCATGTTTAGGAATTTTCACTGTTTACATTTTAATAAATTCAGTGTGTACAATTTCATCACTACGATATTTGTGTACCCTTTAGTGTTTCAAAATACGTTCGATACTTTAGTGAAAACGTGAAACGCAAGTTGTGTATTTTCTTAAATTTACAATTAAGCATTTCGCAACATTCTCATTCTAGTAAATTATGAATAACTATTAAATAAAATAGGATGTTGAATTGGTAAAGTCAAAATGTTTGAAATAACTATATTTTATTGCGGAATCGTCCTGTCATGAGTTCATGGCACATGTCCGTACGTTCGTCTTACATGATACGGTTTCATGGTTTTTGTGTTTTCTACATTAAAAAAATCGTGCGCCTGACAAGCGAATGCCGCGATATAACGTGTTGAAACCTGTTCTAATCCTTCTTTTCATCGAAAGAATATCGCGTATTAATCTCACGATCATACTTTTTGGGTGCCGTTGCACACTGTAAGTCAATTAAAAACATCCTGAATTTGCAAATTGGGCCTATGCTTTCACAGATGTAAAAATGGCCCACCCTACAATTCAGCGCGCGCGCTCGTGATTCAAAACCACTGCTCGCCGCAAGCGGCTGACTCTGCTTCCAAGGTCGTTTCCAGGGGGCAGGCGTTGCGAGGGGCAGGCGGGAAGGCTCCCCTCCCCTCCCAGCAGCTAAAATAATAAAACTAATAACACTAATATTAACTATACGTAGTCCAAACTACTAATATAAGTGTTTACGAGATTTAGTTTTATCAGTTGTTCATTTTTGTAAGAAGTACATTTCGTCGTTATAAATCTTGCCATAACCGCTTATCTTCCTTCCAACATGAGCTACCTCCCCTGGAGCTCTTTCCGCACGAATTTAAGAGCTCTTGTCTGCGTCTACTGCGAAACAGATCAGTTGTGTAATCACAGGTGAAAGACGGGTCCAAACTGGAATAGTGCGGTAAAGTTGTAAGTCTTTAGAAATTTTCGAATGAGAAAATTGATTTATCGATTCAAATAGGCATGAATTAAAAAACGGCAATTTTAGCGAGCAAAAATCAAAATGAGGCCATGACAAGTGAATTTGATTCATCAAACGACTTTTAAATTTTATCTTTACATAATTTAAATATAAAGTCATACAGTAAATGATAAACGTTTTCAATATTTGATAATTATGCATATTGACGATATTCATAATGAAAAAAGTTACAAACTTTTATTGGTAAGGAAATAAAATATCTGAAATAAAATGGACTTCTACAATAAGAAAAGCTTTTGAGTGTACTAGGAATGGCGTGCCACCGAATGTCATTTAACCTTGATGAAACAACCCTCTACAACACCAATCTCGGCGCCCGCGCGCTCGCAGCTCGGCTTGCGAGGGCAGTCCAAGTTTTCTTTAGAATGAGAAATTCTACAAAAATGTTGGCCAAAATTTAGGGGCATGTAAATGCAATGAAAAACTATGAGGGCATGTTTCGACATGTCACACCGCGCCATTCTCTTATGAGAGAGTTTTTTTGAAAATTCATAAACGAGATTTTACTACGATCTTGTTAGACAACATTCAGTTCGTAACACCAAAGGAATGTGAGGAAACGTGATTATTCACTGTCATAATGGGATCTTGAGTGCAATAATCCTATTGTTTCCAGACATAAGCTTTTAATGTCAATCGAAAGCTTGTATTTTTCTGATCAGTATAGTATCAAAATGAGAAATGGGAGAAAAGTAACTTAAACTCTTAATGAGTTATATCAATTGTTGTAGTATGACTTCATAGACTCATTGTAAACTTTTAGATATCTATAGGTAATAAACCAAGGACAAGGATATTTTTCTTTATCTGTAATGAGTTTTGTCAATATACTTCTCAGGAACTAAGTTGTGCCAACCAAGTTTACACGGCGGCGCTGCTAAGTTCCTAGTATTCGCAAAAAAGACGGAAGGAAACGATTGAAAAGAAAATCAGAATTCCGCATTCGGATTTATTCAACCGTGAGCAAAGAGGTTACAACGCAGAAACTCCCCAGTCACGAAGCGAACGCCGCTATTCAATTATGATGCGCCCTCCGCAGCCTTGAGGAACTCCAGCGCCCGAGGCCCGGGATTGATTCCCGATGCAGGCCTCGCCGCTCCGCGCCGCTCGCGCCAGGTGGGCGTTATCGCCCCATCTCTAATTAGCCGCCGGCCAGCGGCGCGCCGCCCCGCCCCGCCCCGCGCCCAGCCGGGTACCACCCCTCCTGGACTGCTCTCCGCCACTGCTTTGCAGCCAGCGCCACCTACGCAGGGGCCGGCGTGAGGCGGGGAGGGTGGAACAGTACGGACAGCGATGTGTGGCGGGGAGGGACAGAGCGGGAATTCTCTGCGAACATCCAACATTATTGGATTGATATCATTTCATACCTGTGTGCAAAACATTTTGTCTTTATTATATTTTAACGCGAACGTTTTGGGAATTTTTAAGAAGGTTGGTATCTTAGGGTTTACGTAGTCCGTTTGAAAATTTGTGAAACCATTTCTATTCCCTACAAAATAGTAATTATTGTCTATGTCGGTGTACATATAATCATCGTCTCTGAGTTGTTTCAATTTTCATGTGCTTAATAATTATCGGCGGAGCGTTTATTCATCTTAACGTTGGTTCCGCGCTTTCGGAAATGAGGTTCAGCAACGGTATTGCAGTTGTTGAGGTCACTTTGTTTGCGTTATAGGGACACGAAGCGGCAAGCTCATTTCGCTCATAAGCTCCGAGAGAACACTGGGCCCTTTGTTTGTCACCGATATCATTAAGGGCGATGAAGGACGCCCAGGGGAAGAGGTTTCGGATGCGATGTCGTCTGCCCACCCTAAGCCCGTTTGACCCCTGCACGCCACCGTTTCTCGTCGCCCTCTTTACTGAATCGCTTCACCACCTCGCTTCATTTCACCTTGCTTTCGTCACTGCTTCACCCCGGCTGCATGTCTCAATTGTGCCCTCTCTTGACTTCACTTGCAGTCCACTCCACTGTTTACTGCACCATCCATATTTCATTCTTATTATTGTACTTTACTTTGTTCATCTCAACCTCATAATTCTGTCTTCGACAACCAAGCACACTTCTCATTACCACTGTATTCTGACGTCTTCTCTACCCCGTTTTCATCCCCGACTCTCTCTGTTTCTCTCTCTCTCTCTCTCTGTTTCTCTCTCTCTCTCTGTTTCTCTCTCTCTCTGTTTCTCTCTGTCTCTGTTTCTCTATCTATCTCTCTGTTTCTCTTTCTCTCTCTCTGTTTCTCTTTCTCTCTCTCTCTCTCTCTTTCTCTCTCTGTTTCTCTCTCTCTCTGTGTTTCTCTCTCTTTTTCTCTCTCTGTTTCTCTCTCTCTCTGTGTTTCTCTCTCTCTCTCTTTCTCTCTCTGTTTCTCTCTCTCTCTATGTTTCTCTCTCTCTCTCTTTCTCTGTTTCTCTCTCTCTCTGTGTTTCTCTTTCTCTCTCTCTCTGTTTATCTTTCTCTCTCTGTTTCTCTTTCTCTCTCGCCCTCTTTCTTTTTATCTTTCTTTCATTTTGGCCAGCCACCATCCCATTTCATTGCCCTTTTTCTTTCTCTCTTAATAAAACTGTGCTGTTGAAATTGAGACAGTTTCGTTATTTATTAATCTTTTCCAATGATTTTGCATATTTTGATTATTTTCTTCAAGTCTTCCCCCTTCCCATCACGCATAGTTTACCGTTCGGTCTCCTCTTTCTCCCTCTCGCCCGCACCCTCTCGCCGCGGGTTGAAAGGCGGGTCCAGCGCGTTTGCATGGGGCATTTCGCGGAACGCGCGGTTACGCCTCGGTCAAGCGGCGGTCCCCAAGGACGCCAGAGGCGGCGGGCGGCGCGAAGGCAGTTGCCAACTCGGCTAACTCAAATTCCAGCGCCGGCGAGCTCCGACCGCGAGCGCCGCCGCCCTGAAGGAGGGGTCGCCCGCGGGCTGAGCTACGATGCTGCCTTCACCTTGGTCGCGCTCGCTCCCCGCGAGGGTGAGCTGGCAGATGAAAGAGAAATGATGAGGTG